GACATTGCATTGGATTTTCCTAGCAATCTGACGCTGCTAGTGCCAAATAGTTGGAAATTGCTTGTTCAATAAAGCTGCAAACCATTTTTCAACCATTGAAACCAGTTCAATGTGCTGGTTCTGTTACTTCACCCACTCTCCACTGCAGGCAGAAGAGATAAAGCAAGAACAGAGACAAATAGGTAAGATGAAATACTCAGTACAAGGAACTCAAAATTAGAAGTTCTTATAATTGTATGATTCTATCTGCTCCAATAGCAGAAAAACGTAATTAGATAACTTCCAGCACTGGGAAAATAAATTGCCTAATCAATGTTAAGTCATATAAGACCACCTATAATAGCATCATTTTAGGAGATATATTATCACACTACAGTACAATTTTTAAAATCACTGGTGATACTGAGGAAGGGGAAGCCAGACACTAAAAAGGCAATCACAACACTTGAAGCAGGCTGCAACCTTTGTTTAAAATAGTGTATGATTCAATTATTTGTAGAGAAATTACCCTTAATCACATTTTTAAGGTCAGAATATACAGTGGTGCACTGAATAACTTTAAAAACCAGAATGCCCTATCAATCATTTACCCCTATTAGTAACTTCAGTAATGTAAAACAGTGATATGTTATGCAGAAACCAGCAGTGAATCCCACTGCCTGGTTAAAAAGGAAAAGAAAGGTGTTTACCTTTCCAGGTTCCAAGTGTTTCCCACATGTATATGCCCACAGTGCCTACCTAACTGAACTACAGGAAAAAGTGAAACAGAAGGATTTCTCCTTCAACTCGGCTGGAACTAGCCTTCATTTGATTCCTTTCCTTCCAGAACTCTCCTTGTGTGTGAGGATTAAAACAAGTACGTAACTGGTAAGGGGTTTTGCTTCAGAAGGCTCACTGGAGAAGATCATAATGCTAGGGAAAGTTGAAGGCAGAAGAAGAAAAGACTACCAGCTATGAGATGGATCAATTCCACAAAGGAAGCCACAGTCTTGAGTTTACAAGAGCTAAGCAGGGCTGCCAAGGACAGGACTTTCTGGAGGGCATTCATTCACTGGTCTACCTTAAGTCGAAGATGACCTGACAGCACACCACCACCACCACCACAAATAATTCATACTTGATTCTTATTTTCTTCTTCCCTCTGCCTGTGTCTGTTAAATTGTGTGCTGTTATTGTGAATTGTTATGCCCCCTCAACTGCATTAACAGAAAAACAATATACTAAAGCAACATAAATATGTAACAGAGGCAACAGTTGCTGAGTACCATTGCAACCAATCGATCTTTATGCTTATATGAAGGTAGATTAGTGTGCGCCCTTCTGTCCATCTCTTTCTTAATGGGGATATAAATATGTATGAACCCACTGCTGTGAAGACCTCTTACCCCCTGTTGATATTTATGGCAATCAATGCCTTGTGGCACATGAAGATCTCTCAATCTAAAACACTGTTTTAGTTGATGTGCATCTTTCTACACAAATACCAGTTCACATTTTACATGGCAGCATGTCTGTAGTAGTAAACACAGTGAAGAGTGACACAGATGTATTCATTTGTAAACCCATAAGGACACATGGTGGAAACTCTGGAAGAGGTTTCCTGACAAGTACTTCCTTCACATACAAGTCTTAAGCACTGCAAACAAAATGCATGTGTACATGTGGCAAATAGATTTCTTATATTGTGAATTAACCCCAAATTTGTGCAAACTGGTGTGCTAAAGACACTAGTTTCAGCAAAGGACAGATACCAGTCTTTAGTACAATGACCACATTCTAACCAATGTGCTTGATAGTTGATTAAACCCAAGGTGAGATTTAACAGGTTTCCACCTTTCCAAGAATAATTTCCAGTCTACTCACTGCAACAGTCAACTGTAAAATAACCACCTTAAAGAATGAGTCCATAAAATGAACATTCTGATTAATGCTACATGCTTGCAAAGATAATTTAACAGTTAGAAGATTAATCTGCATAAGATTCTAACCAAATGGAGGAGCGCAGAGGGTTGAACTTTCAAGTCAGTTGGCAGCTGGATGATTTTCCTGGAAATCTTAGATGGGATGAGGGGGGCAGTTTAATCTCATTCTTAGCACAGTCGGAGGTTTAATCTGAGAACAGTGAGGGATACTCTGAGCTTGCCAGATATGGACAGGTATTTTTCTGCTTGAGTGAGTCAGAAGAGTTGTGCCATCTCTGGAACCATCTCTTCAGGGAAAGGTGAAGACTGACTGGGAAGCTTCTTGTAGCTTGGATGTGACCTTTCATTTCCTCAATGCTAGAAAAACAGTTGGCTTGAAAGAATTCTACCAACTCTAGCCAAAATTTAGAATAAAAATATTCCTCTGAATTAGAACCAAGATCTAACTTTAAATCAGTGTCTACCAAGTGGGTCCATTTATTTTTTACTATACATTAAGGTAGAGGACCCCTAATCAATATCGGGGGGGGGAACAGGAACCCCACCCCCATGCTGGTTCTCAACCTGCCCCAAGGTCTCTGTACTTAAAGTACCAATAAAAGAGAGACATACTGTAAGATACAGATTTAAAGTAATATCTGTTTTATTCCTTATATAGCATCAGTGGTAGCAATGATGTGAATTCTTTTTCACAACCCACTGTAGAGTTCTTTTCCTCATATTGATTTTATTTTGATTACCTTTTCTTCCTGCTAGAAAGATCGAAAGGGGTGAATATCTGTTGATATATGGTAAAATTTACTTGAATTAAATAGGCTTATTTGGTTTATTTACAGCATTTCTACCCCATCCTTAACAGCGGCTCAGGATGGCTAACAAAATCCAACAAACAATAAACAAACAGAAAAAGTACAATCCGCATAATGCAATAAATGGTATAATGCAATAAGTAAGATAGAATGTGGCTAAGCATGAGAATAAAAGTAGTTAAAAATTAAGTATTAAAATGTCAGGTAAATAAAAACGTTTTTACCTGGCTCCGAAAAGTATATAGCATCAGCGCCATGCAAACCTCTCTGGGGAAGCATGTTGTTGTTTTCTTCCAATTAGCCTTGTGTGTGTGTGTGTGTGTGTTAGAAGTGTAAAATATTATTCTAATGCAAGTTTTGCTTCTTTTCTTTCTAATGAAAAAGTAAGTCTCATTTTATCCTAAATTTGAACCCAACACACTTTCTGCATTTTACACATCTCACAGCATCTGGATTGTATTACATTCCTCCCAGTCTATTTTGTTCTATCCTACTTACCGAAATATAAAAACTATATAGCCTATTGTTGGGCTTTGCCAATGTTGTAAGACAAAACTAACCCATATAATTCAGCAGACTCAAACAGAAAATGGTTGAATTTAAAATAACTTCAAGCTCATTCTAAAATCTGTGGATAGAAGAAATATTTCTATGGTCAAAGTACTTGATGTGACATTAAGTTAACAGGTATAGCACAAAATATACATTACTATCCCTGCACAATCATAGTATCTTTATTTTGCACACTGTGTGATTTCAAAAGGAAGCACACTATAATTTACTTTTTAATACAGAATCTTTATAATGCTTCCATCTCTTCCCCAGTAAAAAAACATACTAACAAAAGTTTAATACTAGAGAAGAATAAAATGTCATTTTTATAGATTTGTTTTGAAGAAAATTAATGTCAGTTAAGTTACAAATCTAAGTATTGTTAATGTAAAACAAGAATTTTTTTCCACATGACAATGGACTTGACCAGAGAACACGACTACCTCATTTGCTAGCAAGTTATTTTTAGCACAAGTGATTTTACAAAGAAACATCAAACAGGCAGGAAATGATGTAGCATGCACAGACTTATGAACCTGAATTCTAGTACAGAACTAGCAGCAATTAAGAATACAGTTAAAAACAACTTCCTGCTTTGAACTTTAAATGGTTAAAAAGCAAAGTTTTCAAGTAGTTAATATACTGTTCTTTTATTTCTTGATAATCACATATTTTAGTCACTCATGCAAAATAAAAATGTAGTGCAGAAGCGAAAAGTCACAGCAGTCCTTTCCTATTTTAATTATGTGGGGTGCCACAATCTGTGAAAAACAGACAACACAATTTATAGTCAAAAAATAAGTGTTCATGCACAGGAGAGAATAATTCTGTATTTATTCCTGGCAGTTAATGCTGGTCCTCAGAAAATGATTTCTGCAGTCTCAAAAGATTTTCTGGATTTCATTTAAAGGTAGGTCTAAACAACTGGGTCCCTCTCTGATGAGCGCCAACAGCCATCTGTGTGAGTGACTTTTTAAGGGCCAAATCAGAATGGAAGTTAATGTATGTTTAGCAGTCATGTCATGTTATTTCTGAAACTGATTTGCAGTATAAAGAGATGCCTGGACCCTTTTCTCCCCGAACACAATCCCAATGAAAATCTTGCCCTCCTGATTTTTATTTTTAAATCTTGAAATGGTTGTTAAAGACACATTTAGCATGATGTCTAGTTTGTCCCTAAGGTCAAATGATCACTTTCCAGAAGCTAATCCACTGTAGATTCTGAAGAGGTATGGAGAAGTCAACATTAAGAAGTCAGGACAAATTCTGTTGCCAAATATTCAACTGAGTAGGAAAAAATTAATATGGGGGCTAATTTTGGCTTGCATGTGCCACACACTCTTTTTCAATTGCCTCAAGAGAACCTGATTAGCAGGGATAGATGAAGCAATGGAATCCAAACAAGCACAAATGTTATTCTAATTAGCAAACCAGAAGACTAAAGTTGCCACCCTGTTAAAACCTTCATCGAGAATCACTGACTCTTGTCCTCAGGGCACTTCTGATGGCTGATATTTTGCACTATTTTATACAATTGAGGGAAATAATAAAGCTATTTTAGAATTGGAAAAAATAAGGCAGAACGTAACAATTTGCAGAACAACAAACAAAAGATTTACAAGCTGTGCAAACTTATCCACATTCCTTATCAACATGAATAATTGCAACTATCCTAAACAGCATGGTTTTAAAACCTAAAAATAGAAAAGAGACTTACCATTGCTTAAAGTTGTAAATTCCAGGAAATGATATTCATAGAAGATATCTATTTTGGTTTCTACTTGGGGCCTCTTCAAAGTTGAATAGATATTACCAGGCCGCTTTTCATCATGTTTTTCCAACTTGTTTAGTCCACAACCCATGGCAAAAACTGATGACAAAAAGATGGAGAAAGCACTGATTAGTTAGACCAGAGTATCTTTCTTGCCACAAACAGTAGTTTTTACTACATCATACTACCTTTTCCATGTGCCTTTCAGCAGTTATGATTATAGTTCAATTGTGAAACATGCATTATCATAACAAACATACAAAGGGTGTGTTTCACTTACATATTTGAAAGTGTTTCTCAAATTCTAGCATCTAAAGATTTCAAAGGAATGCATACAATTCACAGAAACATACAAATAAGAAGTTAATATATAGACTATCTGCATAAGAAGGTCAACTACAAAGGAAAAGCTTTCATAAACGAGTCTGCCTAAAAATGAAAAGAGCTGATGTCTAGTGGCAAGGGAAGATTATTCTATATAGTGTGTGCCACTACACTAAATACCTGCTCTAAAAGACTGTAGAGCGGGCCTCGGATGTATGTAGCACCAAGTATCACAGGGGTCTACAGTAGACAAAGCAAGCTCTCAGATAACCAGATGTCAAGCTATTTAGGGCTTTATATGCCAACAACCAAACTTTAAAATGCACCTGATACCAAACAAGCAACCAGAGCAGTTACTTTGGCACAGAAATGCTGCCAATAGGTCATCCCACTCAACTGCCTAGCAGAAACAGCCTGTTCTGGCTGCAGTTTCCAAACCAGCCTTAAGAATAACTCCACATAAAATGCATTCCAATAACCCAACTTCAGTTCCCAGACCAGTATTGGCAAGTAATCCTGGTCTAAGAAATGCAATGGCTGGTGTACCAGTCAACCCTGATAAAAGGGTGCTCCGAGTTATTGAAAGAACTTTCTTTCCCAGGCTTCTTAGAAAGAAAATGGGCCTGATCCTTCAGATGAAGTGAAACACCATCTACAACAGGTAACCACAGTCAACCACAATGCACAGGAACCACATACCCACAATTCCTTTGCCTTGCCACAATTCAGTTTACTTCAGTTTGCTGGCCCTCATCTAGTCCAGCTTCACCATTACACCTGATTCAGAAGTAAGTGAGAAATAAAGACTACATTTTTCTGAAAAATGTTTTTTAAACTGCAAATACAGTAATGTGAGCTCTCTATAACTCTTTATATAGAGGAAAATTAAAGTTTTCTTATCTTTTGACAGATTATCAAATTATTCCTCCATGAATTTAATGACCTTAACATTCTTAAATCATTCATATGTTTAACCATATGGAAAAACCAAAAATGAAAATCTGTGTCCAATTGTACAACTGTTATCAAAATGAATGTAATGATACAGAAAGGACACTAATGTAAAAGAAAAAAAGCCGTATCAAGTTCTGCGGTTGATTTCTTTCTAATGGCTCCTGAATAATGAAGGGTCACAACAAGAGCAGAACATTGTCACACACACCCCACCTGCCAGTTCTAAAATTTAAAAATGAACTCACTCATTTCATGGATCAGCCAACTCTGAAATCCTTAATTTATCGTTTCCAAGACACACTGAAAACTAATTTGAATTCTTTTGCCAACAGAGAGCAAAGCTTTCAGAAAGTATTGAAGGCAGCATTAGGGGCAGACTTGGAACATGGTATGTTATCCAATGGCAATTCAAGGAGCTGAGGAAAGCAATCTTGACCGGATAACATGAAGATGACAAGAATGATGGACCACTCCACCAGCCACAGCTTTCCCTTCTCCAACCACTCCTCCAGACCCTTTTTCTGACTGCTGCCTATCTGCAGGATTTCTGAAAGTATAAGGGTTATACCTGAGTTAGGGCTGGGACAAAAACAACCTCCACACAAAAACATACACATTCAGACATCACAGAAAAAGGAAGCATAAGGATTATACCTGAGTATTGGACTTAAGCTTCAGCTTATGGATAGGGCTAGGAAAACCTGGATTCCTGAGCATGGAACTAGAACAACAGAAAGAGCTATCTATAGGCATACCTTAAGTGCTGCCTTTGTCTGAATGTGCAAAGATTACATTCACATGTTATGGTTAGTGTTAAGGTTAGCATTATGAAAACCTAGTTCCCTGTGCATGTCCATGGGTCTGAAAATAATCTTGTTTGGTCAAAGAAAGAGAGCAGTCAACAAAAAAACCCCTGAGTGCTATCTTTATCTATGAAGCCTGAACAGACAGAGATTCAACCTGGGTATTAGGGTTCAAATGAAGCTTCAGGTTAGGCTTAGGAAAACCTGGATTTCTGCGAATTACTGATGACCTAGAACTATCATTGAATGGACAAGGAATATGAGCAGTCAACAAGTGCTTCCTTTGGGCATGGTGTCCAAATTGATAGGGATTATACTTGAACAGTAGTGCTGGGGTTAACCTTCAGTTCAGGATTGGCATTTGGAAACCCTGGGACTCTTTGCATGTCCATGGACCTGAAATTAGTCATGCCAGTGGAAATACAAGAAGTGGGCAACATGAACACCCTAATCATGCTAGTGGCAACAAGAACATCATGCTTTGTGCATGATGTCTGAATGCACAGGGATTATACCTGGCTGTTAGTGCTGTGGTTCAGCTTGAGGTTAGGGTTTGAAAGACTCAAGTCATGATGCATGGCCAATGATCTGAAAACAGGCTAGACTACACAAACGGAAATAGCAGTCAGCAAGAACCCCTTGACAATGCACATTGTCCAAATGGACAGCCATTGTATCTGTGCATTACAGTCTAGGTAAATTTCAGGTTAGGGTTTGGGTTGAGAAAACCTGGGTTCCTATGCCTAGCCCAGGGCAAATGCAACATGAGCTCAACAGGAACACCATGAGTTCTGCCTTTGTTTATGCTATCTGAATGTGTATGGATTATACCCAAGTATTAGGTTTGGAGTTCTGCCTGAGGTTAAGATTAAGGAACTTAACCATGATAAGTATGCAAGTCAAAGGATGCAAAATTATCCTTGACTGGCAGACAAAATGAACAGTCAAGAAGAAACACATTAATCCTACCTTTACACATGCTACCTGGATGTTATAGTTGGGGTTAAGGTTGGAGTCTGTTTCAGTGCCTGAAAATAATCTGGGTTGGGCAAACAATCAAAAAGAACACCTTTTGTGTGGGCTTTATGCAAGATGCCTGAATCTACAGGGATACTACCTAGGTGTTTGGCTTAAGTGTAAGCTCTGGGTTAGTGGTTAAGAAACCCTGGATTCTTCTGCATGTCCAGGAACCTAGAAATACCATAGACTGGACAAGAACAGAGGCCTATCAACAAGAACATGGTGAGTCCTGCCTTTCTGCATGATGTCTGAATGGGCAGTAATTTTATCGAGGTGTTAAAAGTTCGAGTTCAACTTCAGGTTAAGAAAACCTGGATTCCTATACATATATAGGGGTTTTGAACTACCCTTGACAGGGCATGAAAGGCAAGTCCAAAAGAAAACCTGAGTAGTGGCCTTGTTCATGTGGTCTGAACATATAGCAATTATACACTGGCGTTAGGGTTTAGCTTAAGCTTAGCAGTAGGGTTGGGAAACTTTGATTCCTGTGTCTGTTCCAGGGATTGAAAGTAGCCTTGATCAGGTAAAAACAGTAAGCAACAACAAGAATGTCATGAGTGCCATCTTTGTGCATAATATCTAGATGGATAGGGATTGTTATACATCCAATCTGCACAAACAACTGGTGGTTGAGAGAAAAGAATGGAGCTAGAAAAATAGGAATTCCCCAGACTGCCACACTGCTGAATGGGAAGAATCTGAGGAGGGCCAACACGAGTTCCAAGCCTGTGGTTTTGCTCCTCTTCCATCTCTCAACTCCAGACATATTCAAGAAGGACCTGAAATAGCAAATTACTTTGTATGCCAGAAAATTAGCAAATAGTCCACCAGCTGGAAGTATCTTAACCAACCACATCTTTACTATATGTATTGACCCAACTTCCAGTCCGCAATAACATATCCCTCTCACACTTGTGTTTCATATTATGCTTTGTTGTTCTGATTAACTGAAGTAGAAACTGAAAAAGATAAAGATTGCATGACAATGACCTAAACAGAATGAACATTCCCATGACTTCTTCACATGACATGGCTTAATACATCTGGCTGAACACGGAAACTTTGCTCTTGCATGACACTCCCATGTACTCCCCCCTTCTCCATGCAGCTGAGTGCTGGTTCACACATCCCTCCATAGATTCATTTTGCATATTTAACTGTTCAAGCTAGACTATTTGCAGTATCATATGGATTTCCATGCGGTGGTGATTCTACCATATGGAAATTCCTGCTCAAAAAATCAGCTTTGTGATCTCACAAGGTTTATTATGCAGTGCTACACCTGTCAGCCATATAGACAACTTGAACAAGCAATTACATGTTAAAAGGAGCACACTGAGGGAAAATTACTAGCAGGGTTGGCAGTTTAAGGACAAGTGGGGCTAAGTAACAGAAAAGAGTCTCTTGGTGTTGCTCAGCACTGAAACCTCTTTCCTAACCTTCATCTCTCACTTGCTCAGGCCATGGCGGTGGCAAAAAAGATAGATAGGAAATGCCACTATTTAACTGTTCACTGGCACACTGCCTGTCAATCAAGCCATGGCAGCAGCAATGAGGAAGAGGATGAGGAGAAACAGCAGCTGGTGGCCATGTCAGTGACAAGGCAGACTCACTGTAGGAGAGTGCCTATTGTGAACGTCTTCACAAAGGCCTCTCAGAAACCTGTAACTGCCACTCATTAATGGACATAAGAGATAGTAGACTTAAAAGTAGTGCAGGGAATGACAAATTTAAGAAAGGAATTCCTAGTCTTTCTCTAAAATTTGTCTCATCTGCATCTCCAAGCTTAGGCAATACCAGACCCAAATACATTCTCTGCCCTTTCAGTGGGTTATGAACATTTTAGTTAATTTATTCCTATAGATATGAAAAAGCAAAACTACAGAATTCAGCAAATGGCATTCAACTTACGAAGAACTTAAAGTATAACTGCCAGTCACAGATGACCTCCTATTCAAGCAATTAAGCTGGGACTTGGTGAGTAGAGTAAAACTGGTT